GTCTGGCCAACAAAGGGATGGCATAGATCTCCTTTACACTACACCAATCAGTGTATGCACGTCATTCGAGGCGTAGGCTGTGTTGGTGGGATCCCTGTTCGCCCTGGCCAGGACGTTGGCAGCCGACCCACTGAGAAAATATCTGAGTGAGTCAACTGAGAGCATTGATGCATGTAAGTGGTAGAGTGCTGGGCTCGAAGGCAGAGCGCCATCCAGATGGGACAGCCGATCTGGAAGTCCGGAAGCACCCTGGTGTTTCGACTAGCATTTCAAACAGTAGTGAAAACCAGATCTTGATTGGCCTGTTGGGCGCCACCCACGTCAAAGTGCAGATGCAGTTTTTCCAGTACCCGGTAAATAGCAGGAATGGAGGAAAGGCATACACGTCCATGTGAGTACATAGGGATTGACAAAAAAGTGTCCCTGGCCGATTCTCCTGGGGTCGGCAGGAGTGTCGTCTATGGCGAAAGCTTGGCGTTCGGGGTGTGGTGAATAGGTCCTTGGACCATCCTACCGCCGAAACAAACTGGAGGTTACCCATTGAGGTTATCCGCCACTCCACGTTTTGGAGATGGAGCCGCCACGAGATGGCGTCCGCCCCTGGAAGGTGGTGTGCGGCTAGCTCCACATTGTATTGTTCCAAAGGAGAATTTGCTTTGCTAGAACTGACAACGATGGCGATCTGGTTCCCCCTCCTTGTAGCTATTGGAGACCACCGCTGTATTAACCGTGCAAAGCAAGACTCAAGAAAGTGAAGTAGTGCTCAGCACACTTCTTTCAGTTTGTGCCAGTTGATATGGCAGTCCTGAATTCAGGGACCATATTTTCCATTAGACTTGTTCGTCTAATAGGTGCGCTCCCCAACATGTGAGGGATGCATTCATTTCCATATTCATAGCCGTGGTGAGTGGGTCCAAGGGGCCCCCTGCCCGAGGTTGGCAATTGCCGACCACCAGGGCAAGGCGTCCCTTGCTTGGTTCGAGAGTGTTACTCACCCCTCCAGTTTCTGTAAGAGAGCCCGGTGTTGCAACAAATGTATGCTGTAATGGGCGCTTGCATAACGAAGACTGGAGAACTACCCTGCAAACCGCTGACATCATTCCGATGATCCACATTAGTTCTCAAAGGGACACAGAGGGACTGACTAGGCGTTTGACTAAGTCATTTAGGCAACGGGCCTGTGCCGTACCAACCCCACCTCCATGTTGAAATCCCTGGCCAGGAACACCAACTGTTCTGTTAACTCCCTGGCCAGGAACACCAACTGTTCTATTGGCTGAGGGTGGGACTTGCTCGATTTACTAGGAAGCACAACTGGTCTAGAAAATATGGTGTTAGCCTTACTGTTTGACTAATCACCTCTTGTTGGGTTGTTTAGCAACCAGCAATCTAGGTACACATTGATGTGTACCGATGTAATGTGTACCGGCGCAGCAGTTGCACCACCTGTTTCTACACTCTAGTGAATATGTATGTAGTCATGCAAAACTCAAAAGGAAGCACCCCTCACTTGACTACTTGGCCCAACTGGGCAAATCGAGGGATTCGTTGACTCACTGGGTGTATCGGTATGTGCAGATAAGTATCACTCAAATATAGCGAGGCTAACCATTAGAAACAGAGCACGTGGAATAATATGGTGCTCGGTGTTTCAAGGAAGCTCATACTGATTTAGTCTGATTAAGTACAGAACGGAGCACAGTAGTCTTAGTTGTAGTCTTTGGAACAAATGCCGAGATCCCTATCCTGTGTATAGCGCCCTTTGTAAGCAAAGTATCTACCTCCTGTTGGATTGCTCCTGCTTTGCTGGGGTCTCCTGGTAGTGCCCCGTGTATTGCCACCTGGAGAGTCCAGGGATTGGTTACGCACTGCCTCTAAAATGGAATACACCTGCGTAATCAGTACGACAAGGATGTACAGGTTCAGCGGTTCCACATCACGGTGATTTCTCCTCTGCCGAGGTGAGACTCTACGAAGTCTGTAGAAGTTGATAGGTTCCGACTCTGCCTCCCGCCAAATGTATGCCCATCCCCTTTGTCGCAAGTGGAAGCATCAAACCATGAGGAGGGGGGACCACCATCGGTTCCTTTTTTCTGGGGGCACATCACCACTCTTCCCTTCTCAGGAATAGCCGAGCACTTGCCTCCTGGCTACTTCTGGCCAGTGGGTGCCGACTTTGGTCGCTACGTTTACTCAGCTTGGGGACTTACCGCTTGCCCTTGGCAGAAGCCAAACTGGCTCGCGGGTATCACCTGTACCAACTGGTCAATTGGATCCTGAAGCAATGAGACTGCTTTTTCCATCCTCAAAAAAAGAGGGTGGGGGAGGTCCATCCTGTGTAAGTGAGGCGGTGGTGCGCCCAGTGAAAACAGCCCAAACCGCATTCTGTTGTACGGAGGCAGCCCCTGCCACGAAAGTTAGATGACACTGCAAGATATTCTGCTTAGCCGTGTGGTATCCCACCAATGGCTGTGTCTGCTGGTCTAGGAGCAAGGCTGGTGCATTTCTCCATTGAGACATCAGAGTGCTGGCAACACAGAAAAATTCATTCTAGTGGGCTGGCCACAACTCAAAAGTTGAGGGTCGCCACTCTACTTTCAGTGCGTGGATTTTTTCCGACTAACCGGTCAAAATATTCAATGAGCTCGGTCACGCTTTTTGCCCGTTCCACCGAACCAAAAAAATTGTGGTACCAGGGTCGGGGGAGGAACTGAAGGCTTTGATCAAGCGCGAACTTTGGCTTCAGACTCTGCTGGCTCTGGTCTCAAACACCGCTCGATTGGGTAGCGCTTGATGCAGCGGAAAAGGTTGAGCATAAAATTGACCTACTCTAAGGACTTAGGTCTCTATCCTGAGGGGGACCAAGGTCTGCCCATCAACACCGCCTGTGCGTTCCCCCTACATCCAGCACTCGACGGGATCCAAAGCAATACCGAATGCAGGACTCTGTATCCCGGAAGTTACAGTCCTACCGAGAGACTGTTTCAGGATCGAGGGTGGGGGGGGTGAACATCGGGACACTAGGATCAATGTCCCCCCTCACCAAACGGCGTTGCTCACAGAGTCATTAAGAGGAACAGACTCTGAGGGGCCGCCTAAGGTTGCACATTTAAATGATACTATTTTGATGGCCATATTGGATTTATGCAAATGGAATTGTTATTCAATCAAATGTTTCACAATCACAAACATTCACACACACCAAACCATATCGTAGCATCTTTAATATCTAAAAAATGTCATCTAGAATTAAAAATATGTCCTAATAGTTATATTGTTTATGTTGGAAAATTGCACCAAACGGCCATTTTGAATATATGCAAATAAGGTATATTTTGGAAGCCTAGATTTTCCTAGACTTTTAGTATGTCAATCTAGGCACCTCCCCGGAATGTATTGTGAAGAAATTATTTCTGTTACAATTTGTGATGGGGCAAACCATATATTGACTGGACTATATGTGCAAAAATACATGATTGGAAAAGGTACCATTGATTGCCATTTTTGCTGGATGTAGTTATACCAAAATACATCAGTGCGATCGATGTTGGGTACGTGGGTGCCGACTTTGGTCGTTACGTTTACTCAACTTGGGGTCCTTACTGCTTGCCCTTGGCAGAAGCCAAACTGGCTTGCGGGTATCACCTAACCAACTGGTCAATTGGATCCTGAAGCAATGAGACTGCTTTTTCCATCCTCAAAAAAAAGGGCGGGGGAGGTCCATCCTGTGTAAGTGAGGTGGTGATGCGCCCAGTGAAAACGGCCCAAATCGCATTCTTTTGTACAAAGGCAGCCCCTGCCACGAAAGTTAGATGACACTGCAGGATATTCTGCTTAGCCGTGTGGTATCCCACCAATGATTGTGTCTGCTGGTCTAGGAGCGAGGCTGGTGTGTTTCTCCATTGAGACTTCAGAGTGCTGGCGACACAGAACAATTCATTCCAGTGGGCTGGCCACAACTCAAAGGTTGAGGGTCGCCACTCTGCTTTCAGTGCATGGATTGTTTCCGACTAACTGGTCAAAATATTCAATGAATGCGGTCACCCTCTTTGCGTATTCCACCGAACCAAAAAAATTGTGGTACCAGGGTCGGGGGAGGAACTGAAGGATTCGATTGAGCACGAACTTTGACTACAGACTCTGCTGGCTCTGGTCTCAAACACTGCTCGATTGGGTAGTGCTTGATCCAGTGGAAAAGTTTGAGCATAAAATTGACCTACCCTAAGGACTTATCCCGAGGGGGACCAAGGTCCGCCCATCAACACCGTCTGTGCGTTCCCCCTACATCCAGCACTCGGCGAGATCCAAAGCAATATTGAATGCAGGACTTAGTATATCGGAAGTGAGAGTCCTACCGAGAGTGACTGTCTCAGGATCGAGAGTGGGGGTGAACATCGGGTTACTAGGATCGATGCCCCCCCCCCTCACCGAACGGCGTTGCTCACAGAGTCATTAAGAGGAGCGGCCGCCCAGGTTGCACATTTAAATGATACTATTTTGATGGCCATATTGTATTTATGCAAATGGGATTGTTATTCAATCAAATGTTTCACAATCACATACATTCACACACACCAAATCATATCGCAGCAACTTTAATATTTAAAAAATGTCATCTACAATTAAAAATATGTTCTAATAGTTATATTTTCCATGTTGTAAATTGCACCAAACGGCCATTTTGAATATATGCAAATTAGGTATATTTCGGAAGCCTAGATTTTCCTAGATTTTTAATATGTCAATCTGAGCACCTCCCCGGAATATATTGTGAAGAAATTATTTCTGTTACACTTTGTGATGTAGCAAACCATATATTGACTGGACTATATGTGCAAGTGTTTAAATACAACATGTGCATGAATACATGATTGGAAAGGGTACCGTTGATTGACATTATTGCTGGGTATAGTTATACCAAAATACATCAGTGCGATCGATGTTGGGTACGTTTGCTTTGTGAATACATCCTGCTCTTCTTACCATACTCATTTGACTACATGGCAACCCACGTGTACTATCAAGGAGAGTATGTTTATCGAGGTGTTATTTTCCCTGGATATATCAGAAGAAATCTGGCACGGGCATTTGAAGAACAGTTTGAATGCAGAGATGACGACGTGTTTATTGTTTCCTACCCACGGTCAGGTGAGAATAATTTGATAGTATATTCTACATCATGTTGATTGGAGTATCAAATTGGCGTCAGAATATTTGTGCATTTGATGGTAAAACATTAATGTGTGTGTATTATATGCAGCATGTTGGCAGTAGTGAATCACCTTGTTGATATTAAACATTTAAAATAAATATTAGGAGTTATGTGGGAATTTGGAATAGAACGACATTTTATAAAAAAAACATGTATACGAAAATAGGCAAATAGCCGTAATCGGTCTACGAAAGAACTATTGCATATAAACTTTGGACCCAAGCTTCTCAAACAGGGGAATCATTTTACAGAATTGGCCAACAATTTAGTAAAATTGCTGCCAATGTGTGTATATAACTGAATATATTGCCGGTTCCAAAAATAAATCGTTAGCAGCTTATCCACTGTGACTGGACTAAGAAGATTTTGCAATGCGTACAAACGGGTACAAAAATAGCATTTCTGATTTTAGTTTATGTTTGCACAAACAATTGCAGTGTGGGATGAATATTTAAATTCCGTGACCCATTATTCCGGATTTATTAAATTCTTTGATGTTCAACAAAAGCACAAAATATATGAAAGAACATCATACTCTTTAAATAAATCATATATCACTCGTTGGATACTTCATATGAATGTGTTCGTCTTATCAATACAATACTGCAAGTGGTGAACAGTAGTAAACTTTCAGCAGCTTATGATGACTGAATGTCCCTTTGGTCCAGTCAGCATAAATCCTGTGTATTTTGCTAACTTTTCTAGACATTGATATGCTAGTGAATCCAGTCGATCACCTATTTTTACACTGGTGTTAATATATGTATGTATACATTCACAGCAAACTCATCTTAAACAACAGCTCAGTTTCAACTACAGCTAAGCCTGTTTTTATATAAACACAAACACCCTTGTTAATAGCATAACTTAGTACAATTAACGAAGAAATATGCACATTACAATAAGTATTATATATATTACTCAAGTTTATTTTTAAATCTTAACAGAATTTAAATGGAAAGACAACTTAAATGAGAAGAGGCGAATCTGCTGTTATTTTTGTATTTCACATTTCAGGTACAACGTGGACCACTGAAATGGTATCTTTGGTAATGAATGGTGGTGATACAGAATACAACATGTCTGATATACAACATACAAGAGTACCGCAGATTGAAGTGAACTACAAGCCAAATATCATGCGAGTATAGACTCATTACTTACACAACTTACGTATTGGGGGGATGAAAATGTGCATGGTAGATATCTTCCACAACACAGAAAACATAAATAATTTGGGTTGGTTGAAATACAAGCATAGACGACGCGGTAACCATAGTGTCGATATTGCTTCTCAATCTACCACTGCACATGTGTTTAATTTTGTTTGTCTGACAGTCTGTAATTTTATAATTGACTGATAATAATATTGCCTGATAACTGGGCTCAGACTGGGTTGTTTGCTTAAATAATACGTTCGACCACGTCTCACCCATTAGTGTGCCAATCAACGATCTTATTCTGCTTCCAAACAATACCGAATCTCTCACAGCGCCATTTTGCATGAGAAGAGCATATTACAAGACAATAAATATGTCATGCCAAGCCGGGAACTTTATAGCTTCTTGACCTCTTTGAATCTAATATGGCGCTGTCAAATTTTGGGGCGCTGATTAATCGGTAAACTTAGATCGGTAAAATGGGTAAATAATTCCATACTATCAACGCCAGTAATTCTGTACTGTGTGCGCAATTGATACACGATTAAATAAACGACATTTTCATGGGCAGGAATTTCCACACACAAAAATCAAGAAAACAAAAACAATCAACAATCCCCCCATTAAAATTATTCAATAAAAGCGTCGCAGAGAAATGAGGTCATATCCGGTTAGTGTTCTCATGCACGAACGATTCTCGCGAGGCTGGTATTTTCATGATGGCGTCATTCAAACGACATGGTGATGTCGGTATTACAAAAATTAGCATTTGCTATTACTTTGTACAATCAAATATACTTCCACCAGGTTTCATCAATTATTAAAACTTGTTATGAGTAGACTGTTTTGTTGTTCAGAATGTACTCTGTGTAACTGCACTTTTGTATATTCTGCTTGATATTTGTTGTTTACATTTTGTATGATGTCATTTCTATGTTATCGTATAGAATCAGTATAGAACGTGTGGGCAAATATGAGGTATTTTCCCGACACTTAGTCACATGTCCGTTAAATGAGTTTATATTTCCTTACTAGATTCAATATGATCCTCCGAGTACTTATAATAATGAGAATGATGTTGCCTACTTTCCTACACCAATATATGTCTCTTATCCCTAAGATAAAGGATTTTCGGTCATTTAATGATGCGTTTGAGTGGTCGAAGTCTATTCCTTCTCCTCGACTAATGAGGACACATCTCCAGTATAATTTGTTTGCAAAGGAGCCAATTAAACGGAAATGCAAGGTAATTAATAAAACGTATGTCACGAACGTTTGTCATACATCATATACAAATGCTAAAACCATTAGACCATTAATTATTTCTCAGCACCTAGTGGTATGGTAATTGTACAATACAAACTCCGAGTCTATACAAATTCCAGGGTGTATTCTGTCGGGAATAAAGACAGTCAACACAGCTTGAACAAAAAAGAAAGCATATAATATGAACAGAAAATATTAATTCATCAAATAATTGTAATTTCAGTTCATATATGTTGCAAGAAATCCCAAAGATATGCTTGTGTCGTATTACTATTTTTATAAGATGTGCCGTGTTCATGGTTGTTATGATGGCTCTTGGGCTGCGTTCTTCCGCAAATTTATAAATAAACAGCGTAAGTATTGCCAGCACATGAATAATATTTACCGACATAAGCTCAAATTCCATAGAGTGTGCACGTGATCAGGACATTGCGCTTAATAACTGAAAGTGGAAATACAAAATAGTTGTTCGTAGGGATACATATATTATTATTTAATATAAACATGTCTTGATAATTTCCCAAAATGGGCCATTTTTAATTCAAACATTCAAGGATACGTATATACAAATTTCATGTGGCTAGGCATATCAAAAATTCATTAACAAGATGTTCTTTTCTACAATAATATAAACAGTTTGTTATGGTGATTGGTTTGATCACGTGATAGGCTGGTGGAAATATGCTCAAAAGAATACCGATACTGTGTTGTTCCTAAAATACGAAGATATAAAAAAGGTATAATGACAATATCTCATCTTTTTTTTCAAATTTACCAAAATAATTGTGTGAGCGTATTTGAATTGTGAACATTGTTTAAATAATACCCGTCTCTCTAAATTATACTGTTATTCTCAGGAGGGAGACTAACACACTATTATGTAGTTGTTTTAGTTTTTTATTTATCATTCGCAGGTCATGCATATTTAAATTCTTAGAATACAGGCTTTATTGACTTGATATTACTAGTCCAATGCAATTTAATTATTTCAGAATCCACGAAGTACAATTATGCAGATTTCAAAGTTTTTGAATAAAGAACTTCATGATAGACTAGTTGACGAAATTATTCACCACTGCTGTTTTCATCGCATGCAAAACAATGCCGGAGTAAACTTCGGACGCGAATCTTATGTTATGAATACAAAACGAGGAAAATTCATAAGAAAAGGTATTGAAACTTTCTCTAAGTTTTGAATAGAATTATTCATTTTATAGCAATCGCAACATAACATTACCATTAAAGATATCCATATTTTGTTTGCCAAACTTTTAGTCGCAACAGACCTTTTATTTGTCCTGAAGTGTTACATTTAGATTTAAATTAGGTCATTAGATTTGACACGTTTTACATAACATGTACTGATGATGACGACATGAGAACATTAATTTAAGGTAATGCGTTTATTATAATCGGACCGAAGTCAATTAAATATGAGAAGTAGACTTCACATAACCAACTCAAATGTGGTGTTGACTTCAGGATCTGAAAATGCATGGATGAAAAACGTTACATCAATTATCTAAATTCTCCTCATTCTGTTATCCTTTATTCCATACATGATACAGGTTCACAGTTAATCCCTGTCTTGTTTATTCACAGGAATTATAGGAGACTGGAGAAATCACTTCACATTGGCTCAAAATGAAGAATTCAACAAACTCTACGAATACAAGATGAAAGACACTGGTCTATCATTTCAGTGGGACGGCGAGAATTAAGAAATATGACAAATACATATTAACATGCTTGTTCTCTGGCTAAATTAGAATACATTATCGGATTATTCAATTATAAGATATATGCACTAAACTCCAGTACATTTCAATACATATAGTGTAGTGCCAAACATGTTAAGCTTAATCAAAAGTATATAATAGGTTTTGAAAGGTGACAGAATACATAAGAAAATATATCAACTAGTAGTATATATAGTAACTAGTAACTAGTGGAAAAGAGTATCTACGCATGCGTGGTGGATATCTTGGAGAACGATGAACTGTTAATCATTCCATTAAAATCCTACTATATAATCTTCTCGTCTACGTATTCCAGTTACCATTTTAGATATGAGCATTCCAAAGTATATTATGTCTCTCAAGCAATGTAATGACAACAGTTAAAGATACCCAAAATGATAGTTGTAGAAATATATGAAAAACAGTATATATGCAAATATATTATATAGTAGATTGATAGATATTTTATAATATTAGGTATCTACACAAAAAACTAGTTTAAACACACTGTTGTTAAATACGCTGACTTCATTCAAATAGGTCGTGTATGTATAGGTGATGTTGGGTATACAAGACATATTACGTAGGTCCATTTATTGTTAGAATTTTAATTTTATTGTTCGAACATATCAAAAATAAAAGGTATCAAAAAGTTAGTGTGCCTTTCAAATATACCTCTCCCAAGAATATAGTGTTACATTTAAGGTAGAGATGCAGGTTGTGGGCATTTGCTTTTTATTATCCAAACAGTCTTGGCTATAGACTGTTAAAATTTTGTAGAATTGTGAATAGTGGAACATATTCAAAAAATATAGATAACAGGTGCAAACATTCTCTATTTTGAATGCTAAGCAAGATTTAGCAAGGCTGTACATAAATAATTAAAAAAACACGGTGAAAAAAAGAAAAGACGGGATCTCCATATTATGCATTATATTTAACTTTTAACAAAACGATAATACATTTAAATTTGAAACTGTTACAGCCATTTCAATTATGAGCATTCGCAAACTTCTTACTGAGTGAATTGTTATGCAAATTAGCAAATATCTTCTTTTTAGTGAACATCCCAGAACTTTAAAAAATAGCTCCTAGACGCTTTGACCTTTTGTTTTGAAATTTTCACAAATGATTGACAATGTGTTTATCTTCAAAACGCCGTCGGGGCATTGTTTTTGGTTGAACAGTGTTACAACAATCGCACAGACAACTAGCATGGGTGTTAATTTATGCATAAACTTGAAGTAGTGAAATTTGGGCTGCTACCCCGCAAAATTGACAACTGGTAGACAGTTTCCAAGACGGCACTTTCTTCATAGTAAACAGATGTACCCATCAACCAATTTTGACAGAAAACAGAAGCATGGTTTAGGAGCTATTTTTCTTATAAAAAGTGTTCATAAAATGAAAATACTAACAACATTTTAAAATTCATACAATAAGCTTTTCGAAAATATACAGTTTTGTGGACAAGGGAGGTCATCTTGGCTTCCTAATTAACTAATTAAAATACCTGTCAGATAAACTGCATCTCTATTAAAGTCTGTGTTACAACAAATACTGATGCTGTCCAGGCTGTTATACCCAAACAACTATATAATTACATACATATGAATTGATCGCTTAAACAATGTTGTCGCCTGTTTTTTTGTTAATGCTGAATACAGCTTATTTGCCATCGCAACGTTCTTTGCAGTATCAGTGCTATTTATAATGTAGGTAACGCGTGTATTCGTTGTGGCCGTGTTGTTTATTTCATTGATGGGATTGTGAGCAGTTTCGAATATGACAAAATATTGTTTATTGTTTTAGAGACGCTAAAACGCATGGACTCAAGTCTACTACAATATTTCTCAGTGATGTATAGGTTTGTTTTACAAAATAAGTTGACAATATGTGTGGCTGTAATGAAATTGAATTAAAATACCTACCAATAATTGTGTTTTAAGTGTAGTTATGTTCATATTTAATGGAGTGAAAGCTTTATATCTGAAAAATGCGAGTAGGAGACGTGACTTCAAGTATGCTGCGCCAACCATCTATACATTTCATACACTGGCAGACATTCAGTGTGTCAGCAATGTTTTGTACTCGGAAATTTAATAACCTATAACAATATAGTCTCGATCTTTAAACAACGTATACATCATATGAGCCAATAAACACACCCTCTATTTCAGCCAATCAGAATCAAGTCACTGCATGCGATGGTCGCAGACGTG